ATTGAGCTCCCTCAACGGAAAGAGTTCCTTCATCAGCGGCCCGACTGTACAGTCGCTTGCTGACCACACTCATCCAGTGCAGCCATTCTTTTCTTGCGCAGTTGTGTTCTAGAGCTCGGACCTCTTCTTTTCGTCGTGGTCGCTGTTCGTCCTCTACCCTGGCCTCCGTGGCCTCCTTCCTGGTGGGCCGCGGAGGCCACCCCCCTAGCTTCACTCGCCTCCCCCTGCCCTCGGCTGCGGAACTACAGTCGGGCCGCTGAAGAAGGAACCCTTTTCGTTGGGGCAGGGGCTCAGTGTTCCTTAAGTGTTTTACCCATTACCTAACAGCTGTTGCTGATAGGTTTCTAGTGGTTTCAAAGGAGAGCAGCAGATGACTCCTCAGGGGGGTCGGGGCGGGACCCTGAACGGCTGCCGCCGAAGCCGAAATCGCTTGGGACATCCTCGCAAAATCGCTCTTGGCGCTCCCAGAACTCCATTCCTGGGCCACATTTTGGATGCCCGGAGCCAGCTGTAGGCCACTTCGTGCTCTTCGACTTCCTCCATTCCCGGGCCACATTTTGGATGCCCGGAGCCAACTGTAGGCCACTTCGTGCTCTTCAAGTTCCCAGGACTCCATTCCCGGGCCGCATTTTGGATGCCCGGAGCCAACTGTAGGCCACTTCGTGCTCTTCAAGTTCCCAGAACTCCATTCCTGGGCATGATTTTGAATGCCCGGAGCCAACTGTAGGCCACTTCGTGTTCCCAGAAATCCATTCCTGGGCCACATTTGGAATGCTGAGGCAGGCTGATGCTGCGGCCGAGGCAGGCTGAGGCTGAGGCAGGCTGAGGCTGAGGCCGAGGCTGAAGGCAGACTGAGGCTGAGGCTGAAGCAGACTGAGGCTGAGGCTGAGGCAGGCTGAGGCTGAGGCTGAAGCAGGCTGATGCTGAGGCAGGCTGAGGCTGAGGCTGAGGCTGATGCAGGCTGAGGCTGAGGCAGGCTGAGGCTGAGGCCGAGGCTGAAGGCAGACTAAGGCTGAGGCTGAAGCAGGCTGAGGCTGAGGCTGAGGCAGGCTGAGGCTGAGGCAGGCTGAGGCTGAGGCTGAGGCAGGCTGAGGCTGAGGCTGTGACTGCGACTGCCGTTGCCGCTGCGACTGTCATCGCGAATGCGACTACGAGTGCGAGAACAGCAGAATTCTACAAATGGATTTTCATCTGAATCTTAAGGGGAATGCTTTCAGATATGCTTCTACACATCGCTAATAGGTTGCTTTGCCGGGATAATTGTCTTACGTGTTCCGCTGGTCTCCAATGGGAGATCGAAGTTTTTTGACTCAGGAAAAGGTGGCCTCGTTCCTGATCCAGGGCTCCTTACGACAGTGTCTCGATTGTGTCGATGCTCGTCGTGGTCGCGGCTCGTCCTCACCCCCACGGGCCTGACCTGTTCCCTCCTGGGCCGCGAAACCTGTCCCTGGCCTTCCTGGCCTCATCTTTTCTTGGGCCGCGCCCTTGATTTTCGTCGTGAGCGTGGTTCCCAGACCACCTCGGGACATGAACAAATCATGACGGCTGGTGTTTCTATATGTTCGGCCCTTCGGAGCCCTCGCCGAGCTTCGGGACTGTCAAACGCGGATTCACACATGTGAAGCGTAGTTAGTCTCCTTGCACCCCTCCAAATGCACTTGCATGCATCCGTCTCACTTCCCCCTCTGCTCCCTTGTCTTCTCCGCAGCCGTTTGTGTCACAGGGGGGACCGCTTGGCCAACGAAGAAAAAACCCGCAGGAGGAGGATTAGGAGCAGGAACGAATATCGACTCAGGATTAAAACGACGGTCCTAGGGAACGGGTCGAGACTTCAAGGGGGTCGACGTCGTGACACGGTCATGACGTCGGGGGTCTGGGCTCGTCCCCCCCCTTATGGCCTCCTTGGCCTCGTGGTCCTCCTCTCTGGTTGCCCTGCCGCCCCCCTACAGTGGGGGCGCGCATCAAGAAACCATGTGCTTTTTGGCAGGGTATCCTGGGTTTCTTCGCTCCTCGCGCTGCGCGATGACTTCCCGCAGCCATTGAGGGAGCTGCTGCGTCAGGGTGCTCCAGGTTTCCCCTCAGGTGCACCTCGCGCACGGGTTGACAGGGTTGGGTTTTTTTTGCGAGGGTTTCTTGCGGCCGCGCCCGCACTGTATGGTCTGTGGAATCCTGTATTGGAGAGGAGCCCCACTGGGAGGCTTGGTGGGGGCCTCCTGGAGCCTCTTGCGGGCCACTGGGGGCCTCTGAGGGGCCTCATGAGGGCCTGCCAGCTCGGACGTGTGCGTTTTTTCCCGGCAAGGACCATCAAGGACGATTTGAGGTCACCCTCCGAAAACAACGCGCACGAAGCCGAACAATGCACGGGGAATGGACGTCCGAGCGATGGCGAGTTGGGTGGGGTGCTCGACTGGTTTGCGCTCCCCCTTCTTGGGGTGCCCTTGGGCGCCGCCGCCCACCTGTGGGCCTCTTGGGTTTCTCGTGGGCCATCCCGGGGCCGTCTCGGGGGGGGGCACCCGAGCCGTCTCGGGGCGATCGTGGGAGCCTTTTGCGCCGTCTTGGAGCGTTCGAAGACGGCACAGGCGAGAGCGCCACAATCACTTTTACCTAACAGCGAAGACTGATAGGTTTCTAGTGGTGTCAAAAGAGAGCATGATGATGACTCCTCAGGGGGGTCGGGGCGGGACCCGGGGCGGCTGCCGCCGAAGCCCAAATCGCTTGGGACATCCTCGCAAAATCGCTCTTGGCGCTGCTAGAACTCCATTCCCGGCGTACATTTTGGATGCCCGGAGCCAGCTGTAGGCCACTTCGTGCTCTTCGACTTCCCAGAACTCCATTCCCGGCGTACATTTTCGATGCCCGGAGCCAACTGTAGGCCACTTCGTGGTCTTCGAGTTCCCAGAACTCCATTCCCGGGCCAACATTTTGGATGCCCGGAGCCAACTGTACGCAACTTCGTGGTCTTCGACTTCCCAGAACTCTATTCCCGGGCCACATTTTGGGTGCCCGGAGCCAACTGTAGGCTACTTCGTGGTCTTCGAGTTCCCAGAACTCCACTCCGGGGCCACATTTTGGATGTCCGGGGTCAACTGTAGGCCACTTCGTCTTCTTCGAGCTCCCGGAATTCCATTCCCGGACAACATTTTGCTTACTGGATGTTTCCGTCAGATCTCTCGCCGCCCGATTCCCGGTCTGCTGCTGTTGCTGTTGCTGCTGCTGCTGCTGCTGCTGCTGTTGCTGCTGCTAGTGTAGCTCGTGCTACTGCAACTACTGGCAGTGCCACTGCGACTGCGACTGCGACTGATGTTGCCACTGCGACTGCCACTGCGAATCCGAATGCGACTGCGAGAACACTTGAATTCTACAACAGCATTCTTACATGAATACCCAAGGCAATGCTTCCAGCTATGCTTCTACACATCGCTGTTAGGTTGCTTTGCCGGGATAATTACACCGAAGGAAATTCATTGATGGTTGCCTTTGGGGCCTCAGGTGGGGTTTTCCAGGGGTTATGTTGAGCCGTCTTGGGGCGATCTTGGGGGTCTTGGACCCAGGCTGCCGAAAGGTGACCAAGCTGGCCGAAATATGACCCCTGAGGGAAATGGGGGGACCGCTTCTCCTAGGGAGAAGGGGAGGGGGGGGGGGTGCTCCCCACCCCACACCCCTGCATGGCTCGATTCACAGTGGGTTTTGGGCGTCGCGTAATTTGGCGGGGGGGGGGGGCGATACCTGAGGGGGCAGCGAGGGCTGCAGAGCAGGGGCCCTCGAGGGCCCGTGAAGGGGCCCCTCGGGGCCCAAAGTGGGGCCCGCAGGGATCGAGAAGTGCACCCATCTCCCCCGCCCCACGAAGCGACGCCCAAGATCCACCGTCGGCTGGCGAGGCGCGAGGGCGAAAGGTGGCTCCTGGGAAGAGAGGAACCCCACCCCCCACTTCCTCCGCCTTCCTTTGTCGTCTCCTCCTCCTCCTCCTCCCTCCTCCTCTTCCTCCTCCTCCTCCTCCTCCTCCTCCTCCTGCTCCTCCTCCTGCTCCTCCTCCGCCTCCTCCTCCTGCTCCTCCTCCTCCTCCGCCTCCTCCTCCTGCTCCTCCTCCGCCTCGACCTCCTCCTCCTCCTCCTCCTCCGATCCTCCCCACACACGCCGACAAGGTCGGCGCATTTCCGGTTGTGGTTTGGCTTCCCCCACGGATCTTCCGACCTGGGGAGGTCCCCCGGCCCCCCCAAGGCGCGAGGATGAGGGGTTCTCAGATTCCGAGGGGGGGGGGTTCATAGTTTTTCTTCGACGTTCGGTCTCTCCACACCAATCTTCACTCCCCCCCCTCGCGTCTCTCGCCGATGCTCTGTACGGGAGCCCGGGACACGCGTGCCGCTTGACTGGCGCTCCGTGCCTCGGTCGCCGCCGAGCGCACAGACGCGCGCCGCGATGCGAGGCTTCGGCCCTTGGCGCAGAGCACGGCCCCCCGCGTTCGTCAGCCTCTTACGAGTACCCGTCGGTCGTTGAAAGTAGGTATCCTTGGATGCTCAAGTCCCAATCTACTTCAGGCGCCTTCCTACTTCAAGAGTCGAGTGGACTTCCCTCTGGCATCGTCCTCAAGGGGCGCGCGGAAGCCCAATCTACTTTCAACGCCTTCCCACTTCATGTTTCTACCCGCTTCTTCCGACCGACGGGTACATAATCAGATGGGCGGCGCCGTGCAGTGCGCCGAACATACACCATGAAGGTGAAGAGGCAGTTGGCTATTCGTTGCTCCGCAGGCGTTTATGCATCACCCGTGGTACATGACGCATGGTGTGCGATTCGTTATGTACGTTTGGTCCTGGGCTTATGCTGTCTAGGTTTTCGATCCTGCCGATGCGGTTGGTGATCCTAAGTCTTCTATCCGCCACCCTCCCCCGGCCCACTCCTACTCATCATAGAAACGTCCCTCCTCTTCGCTCCTCCCCCTTCTCCGTGCTCCTTCTTATTCGTATTATTCCTCGTTTGCCTCTTCGCGATCTTGTTGCAAGGACATCGCGAAGAACAACCTCGGTGAGTCGTTCTACCGCCCTTGGGTGCCCCGGGACAGCGCGGGGCTCCGCTGGGACCCGTTTGCCCGTGATTACGGCGTCTCGCGCCCCATCTTCTTCCATGGGGGAGGGGGGCCGAGGAGGAGGAGGAGGAGAAGACAGAGTGGAGAGGAGGGGGCGGATCAGGAGGAGGCGGAGGCGGCGGAGGAGGGGGAGGATCAGGAGGAGGCGGAGGACAGGGAAACCCCCCACCCGCCACGAACCCCACCGTTTCGCGCCCAGCTCTTCCCCGCCTGCGCTTCTCTTGCAGCAGGCCCCGCCCTCGGCTGTGTATCCCCTACCCCTTTCTGTTGTCGTCTCTCTCCGTTCTCCTCCTCCCTGCCTATTATTCTCGCGGTGAAGGGTTCCGCGCACGCGAATCCTCTGCTAGTCGCACCCGCGTTGGCCCGATCGGCCGCCACGGGGCGAGCAGACGTTGAATGTGTTTTCTCCTGCCGACCATCGCTGCCTGAGTGTTGTCCTGCTCCTTCCGCCCAGCTCGGGGGCACGCCTGTTGCAGACAGAGTAGACGTTTCGTGATCGAACATGTTCGGGACGTCGCCAGGCCCTCCTGTAGCTAAAACCAGGGCTCTTGGGTTTACCATGGGCCGCGATGGGAAGTAAACTGAAAGACGCTGAGTCGCCACGCAATCGCAACCCGGTACGGCACAGCCTTGCTTTTGCTCACGACTGATGACGTCCGCCTATGATATCCAGAACGTTGCGCGTGCCAGCGTGTGCTAATGTTCGCGCACTCACGCGTGTCCATGCGGTGAGTATGAACTGCGTGATGGCGGCGCAGATCGCGCTGGGTGTCGGAGCGGAATCCTGGCACTTCAGCTCTCTCACATATGCCTAACGTTCCATTCCACCTCTTCCCTCTCACGCGTCTTGTGTCTCGGGCGTGGACTAGCTTAGGGGCCCACCATCCCAAGCGTTTTGGATGCAGGGATGGTCTCCAGGCTTCTTCGAATTTCTCAGAAGTTGACGAACCAGGCCCCAACGGAGCGTTTCTTCTTTCTTCCTCACTCTCGCACTTGAACCCGCGAGTCTTACGGTAGGGTCATGTGGCGATGGCCCGCTAGCGACGCCAGCGGAGGCGTTCAATGTTGAATCCTGCATGATAGAACGACGCAGAAGCACGCGGCGCGCGGCGGCAGCGCCGGAGCCCAGCCGCTGCACGGCCTGCTCGCCAGCCTGTGCCAGGTCGGCGCCCAGCAGCCGCAACGCAGGCAGGCCACCCAGGCGGGCCCCTGGGACGCCACGTGGGCCCGCCACGCATTGCCGGCGAACAGGGCGCTGGCGGCGGCTGCCACCTCCGCCGCCGCGGGGCGCAGGGCGGGCTGCGGAGCCCGCGCGCGGGCGGCCGCGGCGGCCGCCACTGCCGCGTCGTCGCCCACGCGGGGCGCGCGCCGTTTGCGCCCTGGGGCCGCCCAGCGCCGGCGCGCGCGGGGCCAGCTGGCGCCGTCGCAGTGGTTGGCCTTCAGCACGGCCAACTCCACGGCTGCCACACATGGTCCATATATCTACCTTGGCACACGTCCGCGGTAGCACCATAATTGCGAAAGTTGAAGAACCTGCTTCCTCTCGTAGACGAGCAGGGAGGTTACAAATGGGCCCAATGTAGCACATTGTGGCCACCGTGATAATTGAACGAGTTCACGACCTGCGTCAAACACTCAAGGCCGTGTCCATTACTGCTGCAAAACATGGCGACGTGTGCCTGGGGTGTTCCCTCGCGTTCGGGGCTTCCCCAGGACTTGCGTCCCGACATTTTGTGCAAAACTTGGCGACGTGGCCTGAGGTATTCCCTCGCACTCGGGGCTTCCTCGAGGACCATACAGTGATACAGCTGAGCCCAGCATGGCACGCAATGGCCATCATAAGAATTGAACGACTTCACGACCTGCGTCAAACACCCAAGGCCGTGGGAAATGTAAGATTGAACAACTTCACGACCTGCGTCAAACACTCAAGGCCGTGGGAAATGTAATGGTGAAATATGCTATCGTCCCGAGCAGATGGCTGCACAGAACTCGAAATACTTCCTCTTGGCGGACTGCTTGGAACACTTCATGCACTCGAGCTCCTGGCCAACTCGTGCGTGTCGAAAAGGAAGGAGGACATGGCATCGGTTGCCTGGGGTCTCGGTACGTTTGTTGTGTTCCACGATCAATAGGTTATAATCATCTGGCGTTCGCTTCTGGCCGCATTGATGTGGCCCTGCTGGCATAACTCCAGGTGTGCAAAGTAGGCGAGGCCATGAGCTGAGGCGACCAATCCCCGCAGTGGTGAACCCGCACTGGATGCAGTACAAGTGTGGGTCTTGGTCGCGCCTGGCCCCAGTGAGCGGCCCGAGCACATGATAGCCTTGCTGTCGGGCCTCTCGGTTGTGGAGAGGCCGTTTCTGTTCATCAGCGAGAGCTCGTCCTTGTAAGCCTTGGAACTCTCTCTCTTCCTCTGTCGTCCAGGTAACCACGTTGCGCAGCTTCTGGACCGATACGACATTCCTGGTGTGGGTGCCTCTCTCAGCGAGCGCTGCCACAGATTGCATGGCCCGTGTAGAAAGATCACTATCTCGGACAGTCTTGGCGATGTTTTCCTGGAGACGTGGAACGTGCCAGATCGGCTTCGGGGGCGAGCACCAATCAGGACGGACGCCTAGGCTACCTTTGCGATCTGTGGAGGCGAGAGCCAAGGCATAGATCACCTTCATCGTGTGCTGGTGGGCCAAGAAGGTCGCTCGACATTTGAACCCTGGAGCTTTCCGAAGTCCAAGAGGTATCAGGGTGCTTATCTCGGCGTAGGTCTCGCGTGGGGCCAGTTTGCACTTGCACAGCTGAGCCATTCTCGTTGCTGCAGTGCTGAAGTATCTGGCCATGCGCACAATCTTCGCATCACTGGCACTCTCCTGTGGAGTGACGAGAGGGAGGCCAGTTACAATAGTGAAGTCGATGGCAAGCTCAACCCAGGATACAGACATCGGAGCTCGCACTGTGTCATCTGCTTCCCATTGCAGTTGTGAAAAATACCATACCACCGCTGGGAATAGAGATTGCTGATAGTACCAAGCTCGAATAGCGACCGTCTCGGGTAGGATCGGCTTGAACTTCCACTCGTGTATATTCGGTTGGATTGGATCCCATTGGTAACCTGGAAAGGCAGCCTTCGGGGACCAGTTCGTCGGATTCGTGATGGATTGATCTAGGGCCAGACCAGTCGATGCCACCTGGGGCCTCGCGCTCGATGAAGAGCTGGATCCCCAAGGAGTGGTTGCTGTCTGATCTGCTTCTGGAGGTGCTTTGCATAGTAATCGGCGTCGTCGCAGAGTTGATGGGGCCGAAGATGCTGACTGAGGTGGTGGCGAGGATGCTCGTCTTGGCGGTGGCTGGGGTTGCTCGCTGTCCGAGCCCATGCCCAGATGCGCCCACGGATCCTCTTCATTATCCTCGTCAGGTTGCACAAGTTGTTGACCATCAAGTTCGGCTTGCTCCATAGCTTGAGCCTGCTCGCACCTGGCATGATGTGAATCCCTTCCCATCTCTTTCAGCTCCTTGGCTCGGTGCATGAGAATGACCGTCGCTGCGTGCTGGAGGAGGTAACATAACTTCTGTTCTTGTCGATGTTGTTGCCGAATCGCATCTGGTAGGCCGCGAGACCTCGCCGCGCGTGCAGCTCCAGCATCAGCTTGATTGTTCATCTCCCACAGGTGGCGTTCATCTTCTGGAATGTCTCGCTCACGCCGGTGAGCTTTGACCTTCTGAATCCGAAATAACTCTCGTCCTTTGGCATTGAGTCCAGTCTCGATGGCCTGCCAGAGGTCGGCATGCTGCTTGGCGTGCAATGTTTCTCCTCGAAGAAGTGCGGAAAAAATGCGAGCGCAATAGCTGCTGTCAGTCAAGTAGATTTGTCTGCCCCAGCTCCATGCCACGAAGTGTCGGAGTGCTGCGACCTCGGCGCGCTGAGCGCCTTGGGCCACACTGCGTAGGGGTACTTCAACGTTGCAAGGATGCCCCCTGCCGTAGTATAATGAATACCCCGACCTGCGGAGGCGCAAGTCGGACGCCTGGCCAGGACATGACCCGTCACCTGCTACCACAGTGAAACCGTCGATCTTGGTGAGAATACCGTCTTCATCTTCTCCCACTTCGTACTCGCCGTCAGCGTGATGTGGCGGTGCACGTAGAGGAGGACCATCTGGAAGTAGCTCGCATGCAAATGCGTCGTATTCTGGCTTGTCTGGAAGTTGACCACAACACAAAAGGCACGTCGGTAGCGCAAGAAGTTCTTCTCGCGTGTAGCTGTCCAGGAGTGCTCTTCGTTGTGGTTCCCATCTGGGGCAGTCCAATATGATGTGCTGCATGGTCTCGTCAGGGGCAAGGCAGAACGGGCACTTCATATGGGCTGGGTTCTTAGTGATGTAATGCAGTCTGTGTCCAGTGATGGTGCCACCTTGTAGATAAGCACGCAAGAAAGGAACCTGCTTGGTAGTCAATTTGGGTACTGGAATATCCGAAGATCCAAGTAGTAGCGGTGGCTGCTCCTTCGGCTCATCATCTACGTCCTCGTCGTCAGGCTTGGTGATGCGATCAGCCTTGCGCAAGATGGACGTGGTTACGTGGTAATTCAGGCCAGCAGAGCAGCCCTTCATATCTTTGCGTTCTTGCAGCTGGGGGTCGGATCGCCACACGAAACGTCGAAGATCCTCTCTCAGTGTGTGCTGCCACCAACCCGTGGGGTGCTTGGTGAGGTAGACTCTTTGATGATTTGCCCTCTCGAAGTAGTCGAAGGCTGGCCATGTCCATTGCAGGTCTTTCAGGACTGAGCGGGTTCTGTTGATTGGCCCAGTGTCGCTATCCTTCACGTTACATGTAACTCGATGCTGCAAAATATCCAAACACTGCTTCGCACGTCGTAGTAGTCGCGGTGCACTCGGGCTGGAGAAAAGCCGCCTTGCTATCACCAGCGGTTGGGCAGTGGCGATCTGCACAGGGTCAAGCAGGTGA